AGCTAAAAACGCCGAAAACTCAATATTTAAGGAGTTATGGCCATTTTAAAATATTCAATAATTCCTACTTAAAAAACTGATCACAAATAATAGCTAATAACGCTGAAAACTCAATATTTAAGGAGTTATGGCCATTTTAAAATATTCAATAATTCCTACTTAAAAAAGTGATCACAAATAATAGCTAAAAACGCCGAAAACTCAATATTTAAGGAGTTATGGCCATTTTAAAATATTCAATAATTCCTACTTAAAAAGTGATCACAAATAATAGCTAAAACGCCGAAAACTCAATATTTAAGGAGTTATGGCCATTTTAAAATATTCAATAATTCCTACTTAAAAAAGTGATCACAAATAATGGCTAAAAACGCCGAAAACTCAATATTTAAGGAGTTATGGCCATTTTAAAATATTCAATAATTCCTACTTAAAAAGTGATCACAAATAATAGCTAAAAACTCAATATTTAAGAAGTTATGGCCATTTTAAAATTCTCAATAATTTATGCCTAAAAAAGTTATCACAAATAATAGCTAAAAACGCCGAAAGCTCAATATTTAAGGAGTTATGGCCATTTTAAAATTTTCAATAATTCATGCCTAAAAAAGTGATCACAAATAATAGCTAAAAACGCCGAAAACTCAATATTTAAGGAGTTATGGCCATTTTAAAATATTCAATAATTCCTACTTAAAAAAGTGATCCCAATAATAGCTAAAAACGCCGAAAACTCAATATTTAAGGAGTTATGGCCATTTTAAAATATTCAATAATTCATGCCTAAAAAAGTGATCACAAATTACTACTTAAAAAAGTGATCACAAATAATAGCTAAAAACGCCGAAAACTGAATATTTAAGGAGTTATGGCCATTTTAAAATATTCAATAATTCCTAAAACGCCGAAAACTCAATATTTAAGGAGTTATGGCCATTTTAAAATATTCAATAATTACTACTTAAAAAAGTGATCACAAATAATAGCTAAAAACGCCGAAAACTCAATATTTAAGGAGTTATGGCCATTTTCAAATATTCAATAATTCATGCCTAAAAAAGTGATCACAAATAATAGCTAAAAACGCCGAAAACTCAATATTTAAGGAGTTATGGCCATTTTAAAATACTTAATAATTCATGCCTAAAAAAGTGATCACAAATAATAGCTAAAAACGCCGAAACTCAATATTTAAGGAGTTATGGCCATTTTAAAATATTCAATAATTCCTACTTAAAAAAGTGATCACAAATAAAAGCTAAAAACGCCGAAAACTCAATATTTAAAGATGTTATGGCCATTTTAAAATATTCAATAATTCATGCCGAAAACTCAATATTTAAGGAGTTATGGCCATTTTAAAATATTCAATAATTCCTACTTAAAAAAGTGATCACAAATAATAGCTAAAAACGCCGAAAACTCAATATTAAGGGAGTTATGGCCATTTTAAAATATTCAATTATTCATGCCTAAAAAAGTGATCACAAATAATAGCTAAAAACGCCGAAAACTCAATATTTAAAGAGTTATGGTTATAAAAAAGTGGTCACAAGTAATAGCTAAAAACGCCGAAAACTCAATATTAAAGGAGTTATAGCCATTTTGAAATATTCAATAATTCCTACTTAAAAAAGTGATCACAAATAGTAGCTAAAAACGCAGAAAACTCAATATTAAAGGAGTTATGGCCATTTTAAAATATACAATAATTCCTACTTAAAAAAGTGATCACAAATAATAGCTAAAAACGCCGAAAACTCAATATTTAAAGAGTTATGGCCATTTTAAAATATTCAATAATTCCTACTTAAAAAAGTGATCACAAATAATAGCTAAAAACGCCGAAAACTCAATATTTAAGGAGTTATGGCCATTTTAAAATATTCAATAATTCATACTTAAAAAAGTGATCACAAATAATGGCTAAAAACGCCGAAAACTCAATATTTAAAGAGTTATGGCCATTTTAAAATATTCAATAATTCGTACTTAAAAAGTGATCACAAATAATAGCTAAAAACGCCGAAAACTCAATATTTAAGAAGTTATGGCCATTTTAAAATTCTCAATAATTTATGCCTAAAAAAGTGATCACAAATAATAGCTAAAAACGCCGAAAGCTCAATATTTAAGGAGTTATGGCCATTTTAAAATATCCAATAATTCCTACTTAAAAAAGTGATCACAAATAATAGCTAAAAACGCCGAAAACTCAATATTTAAGGAGTTATGGCCATTTTAAAATATTCAATAATTCATGCCTTAAAAGTGATCACAAATAATAGCTAAAAACGCCGAAAACTCAATATTTAAGGAGTTATGGCCATTTTAAAATATTCAATAATTCATGCCTAAAAAAGTGATTACAAATAATAGCTAAAAACGCCGAAAACTCAATATTTAAGGAGTTATGGCCATTTTAAAATATTCAATAATTCATGCCTAAAAAAGTGATTACAAATAATAGCTAAAAACGCCGAAAACTCAATATTTAAGGAGTTATGTCCATTTTAAAATTTTCAATAATTCATGCCTAAAAAGTGATCACAAATAATAGCTAAAAACGCCGAAAACTCAATATTTAAGGAGTTATGGCCATTTTTAAATATTCAATAATTCCTACTTAAAAAAGTGATCACAAATAATAGCTAAAAACGCCGAAAACTCAATATTTAAGGAGTTATGGCCATTTTAAAATATTCAATAATTCATGCCTAAAAAAGTGATCACAAATAATAGCTAAAAACGCCGAAAACTCAATATTTAAGGAGTTATGGCCATTTTAAAATATTCAATAATTCCTACTTAAAAAAGTGATCGCAAATAATAGCTAAAAACGCCGAAAACTCAATATTTAAGGAGTTATGGCCATTTTAAAATATTCAATAATTCCTACTTAAAAAAGTGATCACAAATAATAGCTAAAAACGCCGAAAACTCAATATTTAAGGAGTTGTGGCCATTTTAAAATATTCAATAGTTCCTACTTAAAAAAGTGATCACAAATAATAGCTAAAAACGCCAAAAACTCAATATTTAAGGAGTTATGGCCATTTTAAAATATTAAATAATTCATGCCTAAAAAAGTGATCACAAATAATAGCTAAAAACGCCGAAAACTCAATATTTAAGGAGTTATGGCCATTTTAAAATATTCAATAATTCCTACTTAAAAAAGTGATCACAAATAACAGCTAAAAACGCCGAAAACTCAATATTTAAGGAGTTGTGGCCATTTTAAAATATTAAATAATTCCTACTTATAAAAGTGATCACAAATAATAGCTAAAAACGCCGAAAACTCAATATTTAAGGAGTTATGGCCATTTTGAAACATTCAATAATTCATGTTAAAAAAAGTGATCACAAATAATAGCTAAAAACGCCGAAAACTCAATATTAAAGTAGTTATGGCCATTTTAAAATATTTAATAATTCCTACTTAAAAAAGTAATCACAAATAATAGCCTGAAACGCCGAAAACTCAATATTTAAGGAGTTATGGCCATTTTAAAATATTCAATAATTCCTACTTAAAAAAGTGATCACAAATAATAGCTAAAAACGCTGAAAACTCAATATTTAAGGTGTTATGGCCATTTTAAAATATTCAATAATTCCTACTTAAAAAAGTGATCACAAATAATAGCTAAAAACGCCGAAAACTCAATATTTAAGGAGTTATGGCCATTTTAAAATATTCAATAATTCCTATTTAAATATTTAAGGAGTTATGGCCATTTTAAAATATTCAATAATTCCTACTTAAAAAAGTGATCACAAATAATAGCTAAAAACGCCGAAAACTCAATATTTAAGGAGTTATGGCCATTTTAAAATATTCAATAATTCCCACTTAAAAAGTGATCACAAATAATAGCTAAAAACGCAGAAAACTCAATATTTAAGGAGTTATGGCCATTTTAAAATATCCAATAATTCCTACTTAAAAAAGTGATTACAAATAATAGCTAAAAACGCCGAAAACTCAATATTTAAGGCGTTATGGCCATTTTAAAATATTCAATAATTCATGCCTAAAAAAGTGATCACAAATAATAGCTAAAAACGCCGAAAACTCAATATTTAAGGAGTTATGGCCATTTTAAAATATCCAATAATTCCTACTTAAAAAAGTGATTACAAATAATAGCTAAAAACGCCGAAAACTCAATATTTAAGGCGTTATGGCCATTTTAAAATATTCAATAATTCATGCCTAAAAAAGTGATCACAAATAATAGCTAAAAACGCCGAAAACTCAATATTTAAGGAGTTATGGCCATTTTAAAATATTACATAATTCCTACTTAAAAATGTGATTACAAATAATAGCTAAAAACGCCGAAAACTTAATATTTAAGAAGTTATGGCCATTTTAAAATATTCAATAATTCCTACTTAAAAAAGTAATCACAAATAATAGCTAATAACGCCGAAAACTCAATATTTAAGGAGTTATGGCCATTTTAAAATATTCAATAATTCCTACTTAAAAAAGTGATTACAAACAAAAGCTAAAACGCCGAAAACTTAATATTTAAGGAGTTATGGCCATTTTAAAATATCCAATTATTCCTACTTAAAAAAGTGATTACAAATAATAGCTAAAAACGCCGAAAACTCAATATTTAAGGAGTTATATCTATTTTAAAATATTCGATAATTCCTACTTAATAAAGTGATGAACCGTATTCCTGCACAATATGGGTGAAAACATTTTGCCTGAATTTTTGGTGTGAAGCATCCAGTGATTCAATGCCGTTCTAATTTCTTTTTCGAGAGGGCGCAGATGAAGTCGCCTTAGCCATCAAATTACAATTTTTAATAAACCAAATCCATAAATTTTATATTTATGTACATAAGCCTATCTTAATTTGCTGTAGTTTCTTGCACTGTGAACCCTCCTATGAATGTTAAACTCATTAGTGGCATCCATCTGAAAATGCATTTCTCTGAGGCACCCTGTAATGTTAAACCACTCTCACTTGCTCTCTCTCAACACAAACAACGTTGTTATTTGTTTTCGTTTACAATTGACGACCAGGCAAACGCATTGTGGCCAATATTAAAAAATAAATAATTGATAAATAATAATAATCAAGTTTAACTTACAAACATGGCCAAAAGACCCGGTTCCAGTCTTGTGTTGGCCCAAGAGCCAAAGAAAACTAAAAGTGATTTGGTGGCATACACAAATCGTGACAAGGCCTTAATGGAGGAGGTAAGTAATGCCCAATCAAGTTCAATAAAGAAAAATGAAATAATTTCTTCTCATTTAGGGTGTGCGAAGAACCTCGAATCTCCAGGCACCCATTATGCTGCTCGAAGGTCATCAGGGAGAGATTTTTACAACGGAATTTCATCCGGAGGGAGAAATGTTGCTATCATCCGGGTTTGATAGGCAAATATGTAAGTTAATGGCTTCAAATATTTGACAAATGTGTAATAGCTTCCTTCTGCTAGATATCTGGAACGTTTATGGTGATTGTGAGAACATTTTGGCCATGTCTGGCCACACGGGTGCCGTTTTGGAAGCTCATTTCAATACCGAGGGTTCACAGGTATTCACTTGCTCGACAGATAAAACTCTAGCCATATGGGATATTGGCACAGGCCAAAGGGTGCGACGCTTAAAAGGTCATACGAACTTTGTAAATTCCCTACAGGGAACACGTCGTGGCCAACAAATGCTGTGTTCCGGTTCTGATGATCGTACCATACGCATTTGGGATGCGCGAAAGAAACTTTCAGCCCATATGTTGGAAGCACCGTTTCAAGTGACCTCGGTTACATTTAATGACACATCCGATCAAGTTATATCCGGTGGCATCGATAATGAGGTGAAAGTCTGGGATATACGTAAACAACAAGTTTTACATTCACTCAAAGGGCACACGGACACAATTACAGGATTATCGTTATCACCCGATGGATCTTATATCCTATCAAATTCTTTGGATAACACTTTAAGGATATGGGATATACGTCCCTATGTACCGGGTGAGCGTTGTGTGAAAATCTTCCAAGGTCATCAACATAATTTCGAAAAGAATTTGCTACGTTGCGCCTGGTCACCGGATGGTAGTAAAATTTCAGCTGGTTCTGCCGATCGTTATGTCTATGTATGGGACACAACAAGCAGAAGAATTCTATATAAACTTCCCGGACACAATGGTAGTGTTAATGACGTTGATTTTAGCCCCAAAGAGCCGTTGATTGTGTCGGCTTCTAGCGATAAGACTTTGTATTTGGGTGAAATAGAAGACTAATAAATGGAATGAATGAAATGTAAAAAAGACTTACCATGTAGTTATGATTTTTTGTGGAACAGGAATATTGTGTGCAATATTGATGGATGGGAAATTTTGTGTTGAATAATTGTTATCTTTTAATAAAGAATAGCGACATTGTTGGCGCAATAATTTGCATCTATGAAACACGATCAAGCGCACTGAAATGACAGCAACAATGATAATCACATAGAAATGATAGCCCGCCATAACAAAATCACATAACGGATCTTTATCACAATTACAAGGTAAACGCACTGTAATCCACTATTGTCTCAGCATTGCTTTTAAAAAAATATATTTTTCAAATAATGATCTATATAAGGTCGGCCAACAAACTAATCTCATAAATAGACATATTGTGAACTGAAATTCAAAGAGAGTGAAATCACAATGGTGTAAAAACTACTAATTTTATTGTCAATAGTAGTCTTCTTGGCCGACCTTATATAGGCCTTGATGTTCGTTTCCTTCAAATTTGTCAATTTTCTGAAACTACCAGTAAAAATGTATGTATGTTTTTATTAATATTAGTTTTATATGTCAGATTTCTTGATAGGCCTTAAAGTACGTTTACATATTAAATCTATTTTATCCTTATCCTCAGAATTGTCCAATCTCAATAAATTTACCTTAACCTTTTTATAGTAAAATTTATTTAGATTGGTAAATTATCAGGGTTTACCCTTGTGGAGATTTGGCATGTAAACGTACTTTTAGAGAAGGATACTCCAAAAAATGCATGGCAGAAGAATACAGGTAGATGCATCAACGCTTGGGAGCATTGATACATAAAAAAAAATTTAAATGTTTTTTCAAATATAAGTAGATGTTTATATGTTTTCTCATACTACGTCATTTGGAGGCTATTATAATTCGCGTTTTTCAACAATTTTTACAAATTTAAATAATTTTTCATTCAACATTTTCAATTCAAAAATTGGTCCCAGCAGCTGTGTCGACGCGTCTACCTATATTCTTCTACAATGAAAAAATGTTTTTATACTTCCAACGAAATAATTTTATTGTGACTTGTTAACTATCACAGTCAAAGTACATTACTTGCGAATATCTATATCTATTCACATGGGAATGATAGCTCATAACGAAAATTCATCATAATCACTGGGCAAGGCACGGCTATCGAGTGTCTGAAAAAAATCGAATTGGTAACAAATTTGCTCTGATTTTACATATATTTTGCGGAAACCGAGTATCACCTCGATTGTCAATTTACCATTCTCATCGAGTAAATTATCTATTCACATAAAAATGATAGCTTGTATTAAGGCGTCATAACGGAACATTATCATAATTACTGTCAAAGCATTGCTATTGTTAAGTGTTTCAAATATCATTATAATATTTATCATTGTTATTTTGTCATATGTTTCCCTTTTGCTTTCTCTCAATGTTTGTAAAAGTATAGAAATTTAAATATTTAAATATTATCAATTGCAGGCGTCGTTTTTTCTTGAATGGGAACGCGTTACGTTGGCAATAACTAAATTTATTGGTTGCTATCACTGCAATGTACAATAAAAAGAAGAAGACAAAAGGAGAGTACAAGCAAGTTCTAGTTTGAATTTGGTGGGAAAAGGTGTTATATCGTAGGTTTTTCTAACAGAAGTGCATAAAATAAAGAATTGTTGTGAAATTCCCGTACTATTTGCATTGGTAAGTCAATCTAAACATTTTTTTTGTAATTGGAATATCCATCTTTTATATATACTTATAAGAATTCTATGGAATTCTTTTCCATGAGTGGCGTTGCAAATTCTTGGTAAAGTAAAAAAAATAAAGTAAAACTATCATAGAAACAAATTCAGAATAATTTATTCCTGCTAACTGCATGCAAATGATATTTAAAAGAAATGTCCATGGCATACCAAATATAGAAAAGTATAATCCAATTTCCATCTAGTGATGATATCTAGAGGATCCTTTGGTAAAATCCAGTTTGAAATTCTGCGAAACACAATGCCGTGATCTTGAGTGCGGCCCAAGTCCCGTGTAGCAATACTATTGCCCAGGTCATGAGAATTTCTCTAGGTTATGTCCTACATCGGTTACGCGAAAAATTGTTTTAGATACCATACTTTTTGGAGAATCTTGAAACATTTTCACAAAACAGTTAAATGAACTCAAAAATCAGCTTGTTAGGGCTCCAAGAATATAATCACTGTAATTATAAAATATATTGATGCCTATGACGGTTTCATGTTCACCTTTGTATGGAAGCAACTGAAAAGTTGTAAGTGCATTCCATTTTGGCCATGTCTGGCCACACGGGTGCCGTTTTGGAAGCTCATTTCAATACCGAGGGTTCACAGGTATTCACTTGCTCGACAGATAAAACTCTAGCCATATGGGATATTGGCACAGGCCAAAGGGTGCGACGCTTAAAAGGTCATACGAACTTTGTAAATTCCCTACAGGGAACACGTCGTGGCCAACAAATGCTGTGTTCCGGTTCTGATGATCGTACCATACGCATTTGGGATGCGCGAAAGAAACTTTCAGCCCATATGTTGGAAGCACCGTTTCAAGTGACCTCGGTTACATTTAATGACACATCCGATCAAGTTATATCCGGTGGCATCGATAATGAGGTGAAAGTCTGGGATATACGTAAACAACAAGTTTTACATTCACTCAAAGGGCACACGGACACAATTACAGGATTATCGTTATCACCCGATGGATCTTATATCCTATCAAATTCTTTGGATAACACTTTAAGGATATGGGATATACGTCCCTATGTACCGGGTGAGCGTTGTGTGAAAATCTTCCAAGGTCATCAACATAATTTCGAAAAGAATTTGCTACGTTGCGCCTGGTCACCGGATGGTAGTAAAATTTCAGCTGGTTCTGCCGATCGTTATGTCTATGTATGGGACACAACAAGCAGAAGAATTCTATATAAACTTCCCGGACACAATGGTAGTGTTAATGACGTTGATTTTAGCCCCAAAGAGCCGTTGATTGTGTCGGCTTCTAGCGATAAGACTTTGTATTTGGGTGAAATAGAAGACTAATAAATGGAATGAATGAAATGTAAAAAAGACTTACCATGTAGTTATGATTTTTTGTGGAACAGGAATATTGTGTGCAATATTGATGGATGGGAAATTTTGTGTTGAATAATTGTTATCTTTTAATAAAGAATAGCGACATTGTTGGCGCAATAATTTGCATCTATGAAACACGATCAAGCGCACTGAAATGACAGCAACAATGATAATCACATAGAAATGATAGCCCGCCATAACAAAATCACATAACGGATCTTTATCACAATTACAAGGTAAACGCACTGTAATCCACTATTGTCTCAGCATTGCTTTTAAAAAAATATATTTTTCAAATAATGATCTATATAAGGTCGGCCAACAAACTAATCTCATAAATAGACATATTGTGAACTGAAATTCAAAGAGAGTGAAATCACAATGGTGTAAAAACTACTAATTTTATTGTCAATAGTAGTCTTCTTGGCCGACCTTATATAGGCCTTGATGTTCGTTTCCTTCAAATTTGTCAATTTTCTGAAACTACCAGTAAAAATGTATGTATGTTTTTATTAATATTAGTTTTATATGTCAGATTTCTTGATAGGCCTTAAAGTACCTTTACATATTAAATCTATTTTATCCTTATCCTCAGAATTGTCCAATCTCAATAAATTTACCTTAACCTTTTTATAGTAAAATTTATTTAGATTGGTAAATTATCAGGGTTTACCCTTGTGGAGATTTGGCATGTAAACGTACTTTTAGAGAAGGATACTCCAAAAAATGCATGGCAGAAGAATACAGGTAGATGCATCAACGCTTGGGAGCATTGATACATAAAAAAAAATTTAAATGTTTTTTCAAATATAAGTAGATGTTTATATGTTTTCTCATACTACGTCATTTGGAGGCTATTATAATTCGCGTTTTTCAACAATTTTTACAAATTTAAATAATTTTTCATTCAACATTTTCAATTCAAAAATTGGTCCCAGCAGCTGTGTCGACGCGTCTACCTATATTCTTCTACAATGAAAAAATGTTTTTATACTTCCAACGAAATAATTTTATTGTGACTTGTTAACTATCACAGTCAAAGTACATTACTTGCGAATATCTATATCTATTCACATGGGAATGATAGCTCATAACGAAAATTCATCATAATCACTGGGCAAGGCACGGCTATCGAGTGTCTGAAAAAAATCGAATTGGTAACAAATTTGCTCTGATTTTACATATATTTTGCGGAAACCGAGTATCACCTCGATTGTCAATTTACCATTCTCATCGAGTAAATTATCTATTCACATAAAAATGATAGCTTGTATTAAGGCGTCATAACGGAACATTATCATAATTACTGTCAAAGCATTGCTATTGTTAAGTGTTTCAAATATCATTATAATATTTATCATTGTTATTTTGTCATATGTTTCCCTTTTGCTTTCTCTCAATGTTTGTAAAAGTATAGAAATTTAAATATTTAAATATTATCAATTGCAGGCGTCGTTTTTTCTTGAATGGGAACGCGTTACGTTGGCAATAACTAAATTTATTGGTTGCTATCACTGCAATGTACAATAAAAAGAAGAAGACAAAAGGAGAGTACAAGCAAGTTCTAGTTTGAATTTGGTGGGAAAAGGTGTTATATCGTAGGTTTTTCTAACAGAAGTGCATAAAATAAAGAATTGTTGTGAAATTCCCGTACTATTTGCATTGGTAAGTCAATCTAAACATTTTTTTTGTAATTGGAATATCCATCTTTTATATATACTTATAAGAATTCTATGGAATTCTTTTCCATGAGTGGCGTTGCAAATTCTTGGTAAAGTAAAAAAAATAAAGTAAAACTATCATAGAAACAAATTCAGAATAATTTATTCCTGCTAACTGCATGCAAATGATATTTAAAAGAAATGTCCATGGCATACCAAATATAGAAAAGTATAATCCAATTTCCATCTAGTGATGATATCTAGAGGATCCTTTGGTAAAATCCAGTTTGAAATTCTGCGAAACACAATGCCGTGATCTTGAGTGCGGCCCAAGTCCCGTGTAGCAATACTATTGCCCAGGTCATGAGAATTTCTCTAGGTTATGTCCTACATCGGTTACGCGAAAAATTGTTTTAGATACCATACTTTTTGGAGAATCTTGAAACATTTTCACAAAACAGTTAAATGAACTCAAAAATCAGCTTGTTAGGGCTCCTAGAATATAATCACTGTAATTATAAAATATATTGATGCCTATGACGGTTTCATGTTCACCTTTGTATGGAAGCAACTGAAAAGTTGTAAGTGCATTCCAGGGTCTTTATAACAATAACTATATTGCTTTGGTTGGTTGCTAAAAACTGGTGGTAAAACTATGGGAAATATGGAGTACTAAGGTGTAGCTGTTGAAAGTTTTTATTTTTACCTGCAATCGGACCATAAACCAGATATTTCCGAAATTTCAAGACTTTCAAAGGATGTTTCAGATCATAAAAGTACAACAAAGTCTCTTGGGCGTTAAACAATGTTCTCTCCAGCTATTCAAAAGATCATACATACCTCCAAAATTTATTTGATGCCTATAAATTGTCTTCTATGCTCCTTTCTTTGGAACACTTTTGGGAAACTAATTTTATGGGCGATCTTTAGATAACGAAGAAAGTGAAGACCTATTGCAGGCCCTGGTTCAAAGCGACATCCAAACCTTGAACAACAGCATGGCTTTCTAAATTTCCACAAGACTTTCAAGATATTCGAAAGGCTTTCTAAATCTTCGAAAGATCACCCAGATTCTCAAAGAGATTAAAACCTTAAAAAACTTCAAAACCTCAAAAATGTTTTCAATTCAACCTCTAGCGTTTGGAAACTTAAAAAGATCTTTCAAAGTACAAACTTCAAGACCTTCTGGAAAATTTCTACAAGTCTTCGATATCATGTTCATTAATCTAGAATTTTCAAAATCTCTAAGGTGTTTGCGACATCCAAAAGTTCTTTAATTTCTCTAAAATTGTATTCAAAATTGTGAAAAGATTTTCTAGATTGGCACAAGGATGCCAGGGCCTTCGAAGACCTTGCAGACTTTCTTATATCGGCAATGTTTTTTCTTTTTTCATATCTGAAAAACAATGTTGATGGGATTTAATTTGGCTATCAGACTATTTTTCTTTATCGTTGCCAATCCATTTTAACAACCAAAAATTGCTGAAATTTGATACTTTGAAATCTGAACGCGTATTGTTCCAGAACCTGTAAGAATTTATTATTTTTGCCATTTTTATACCCTATACCACATTGTGGTAAAGGTATTATGTCTTTGTGCATTTGTATGTAGCGAGATAGACCCATTGTTACTTTTGAAGATCTTCATATATTAATTTTCTGAGTCTGTCCATGTATTTTTATGAACAAAATGCAGGTCGCATTTTTTATCCAATTGAAATTACATTTTCCAAAAAATATTTGTTTGGCCCAAGGACGAACCCTATTAAAATTGGTGAGAATCGGTTCAACTTTAGATATAGCTCCCATATATATCTTCAACCGATTTTGGGTTAATTGTGCACCAAATGGCCAATATCAGTCCAATTGACTTGAATTTTAGCACATCCGACCGAATTCAGTCTAGTAGCAAGTATTAGATATAGCTATAGCTCCCATATTTAGGTTTCATCCGATTTGGGGTTTTAAGTCCCTCAGATGTGTAATATTTGTAATATATTATTTGGTACAAGATAAATTATTTAGAACGTATTTTTGTTCTCTTCTAATTTGTATTGAGAACGGATCAGATTAGGATATAGCTCCCATATTTATTCGACATCAGGTTTATTGTGCACCAAAAGCAAAAATCAGTCCAAATGGACTGTATTTTGGCAATTCCGACTGAATTCATCCTAGTAACAATCACTTCAAATTTGGTGGAAATCAGATCAGATATAACTATAGCTCCCATATATATGTTTCATCCGATTTGGGGTTTTAGGTCCCTCAGGTTAGCAATATGCACTCCATAACAATAATATTTGGTACAAGATGTTAGATACAGCTCAGAAATAAGTGTTTCAAATTTTGTCAAGATCGGTTTAAATGTGGATGTAGCTCCCATGTATATTTTCAACCGATTTCAGGTTTTTTGTGCAAGTGCTTCAAATTTTGGTGATAATCGGTTCAGGTATAGCTATAGCTCCCAAATATATATGTTTTATCCGATTTTGTGTTAAAGTCCCTTGCATGCGTAATATGCACTCCACAACAATAATATTTGATACCGGACATTAGATACTGCTCGAAAATGCCTCTGCCAAATTTTATCGACATCATGTCATGTCGAAGACATATCATGCACTATAGCAATGTTATTTGGTTCATAGTTGGTATGATATACTTCACATAAATTCCCAATATAAACTTTTTTGTTACGTGAGCGTGTAGGGTATCATATAGTGAGCCCTCCCGACTTTCGACCTTTCTTTACTGGTTTTAATATGATACAGGGAATATCAGTTATAGCGGTAAAAATTACGAATACTTCTTGCATTAATATTTTAAAGAGCAATTTTTTTGAATTTTGAGGGTCTCAATGGGTTATTGTCATTATAAATTTATCGTAAATAGTATTAAAATATACCTCAAATAAATCATGATACGTTATATTCCCGCGAAAAAAGTCTCTAATGCTGCCAATCAGTTGCTTCTTTTTTGTCTCATAAGCAACGTATCCTTGGTAACAAATCAAAGTGATTCGTTTAAATTGTTATTTAATTTCCATTGGCGGAGTAATAAGAATTCTTCATAAGAAAAAAATGGTGTTATGTATCTGTTTGGGTCCCAAAAGATCGGGTAAAACACATTTGCTGAAAGCCCTACAAGATATTGAACAAGTTGATGATAATTCCTTTTCGACTCCCACAATTGGTACGAATATTTACAATATTGTGTTTCCCATTGATACCAATGGAGATGACAACAAACCGAAACCACCTCCACCACCAGCAACTGAAACGGATGACAATGAAAATAAAACGGCGGAGAAGAGAAAGAAAAAATTACCTCCTCTAAAGTCAATACGTGTTTTGGAAATTGGTGGAGCTATGGCACCCATATGGCGCCAGTATTTCAATGATGTCAAGAAACTAATGTATGTTGTGGATACATCGAATTTGTGTCAAATATCGGCAGCAGGTGAGTTGTAAAAATATCTTTTATTTATTTTGTAATAATGTTTCCTATTTTCAGGTGTTCTCTTCTATTCCATCTTGGCTGAGCCGCGTTTGCAAAAGGTACGCATTCTATTGGTATTGTCCAAAATGGATTATGCCTATCGCCAGATGCGCAATGAGGCCTTGCTAATGCTACAAATGTCCAAGTTGAAAAGAGAAATTAGGCAAAATATTACAATTGTTGAAGTTAGCCCTGTGACAAAAGTTGGTCTAGATGGCATTTACAATTGGCTGAAAATACCTTAAATCACAAATTCTACAACTTTATTTAACACATCTATAGATAGTGAAAGATATATCATGATATATACACACTGGAATAAATTATAATTTATAATGTTCATCCATATATTTTAAGTTGGTTTCAACTTCTTCCGATTCGGGCATAACATCTTTGGCAGCACTCAAATAGGATTTTGCCTTCAGTATATCACCCGTATAGGCAGCCAAAACCGAGAGATTATTGAGGGCAGCTCCATTCCTGGCATCGGAGGTGAGGCAGAGTTGTAGACATCGCTTGGCCAAATTGAAGTCACCGGTGGTCTGAAAGGGGAACATCATATGGAATTATTGAATTTATATGACATTTGAAATGATGCAACTTACAATTGCAACAAAGCTAAGATTATACCAAATATCGGCTTTTTGTTCCGATGTCTTGGCCGTTAGAAGGGCTCTCTGAAAGCAGGGTAAAACCAATTCAATTTGACCTCCATACAGGCAACACAAACCAATGTTGCAATACAGCTCACACGAATGAACGCCCAGGGATAAAATGCGCCTGAAATTAGATTAGATGGACAAAATTGTTAATTACAAGTTGGAAAAAAATGGTAAAAGAATTTAAGATATTGAAAAAAGCGGAAAGATATTGAAAAAAGCGGAAAGATATTGAAAAAAGCGGCATCATATGACTTCGATAAGGGATATTTTAAAAAAAATATTTATTGCAGCATAGAATACCGGACCGAGTTTCAACAAATGGTAAAATTCGGTTGAATATGAACAAATCTATTCTAGTTGGGCTGATATTACATATATGGGGAGCAATATCTGTAAAATCGGATGAAGATGTATATCGAAGCTATATAAAAATCTGAACCGATCTCTGGTGGCCGGTATCAAATATCATTGTTGTGCATATTGCGCATGTGAGGGACTTTAACACCAATTCGGATGAAGCATATATATAGGAGCTATATTTATATCAGAACCAAAATTTGAAGCACTTGCTTTTAGGTCGAAATCCGTCGGAAGAGTCAAAATTCGGTCCACTTGGACTGATATTAGCCATTATTTGAACAAATAACCTGAAATCGGATTAAGGATATATATATATGGGAGCTATATCCAAATCTTAACCGGTAAAATTTGGAAGAAGTATTTCCAAGCTCTATAAGATATCTGGTACCAAATATCATTGTTGTCGAATGCATATTACGCATATAAGTCCCTGAAACACCAAACCAGATGAAACATATATATGGCAGCTATAGCTATATCTGAAACGATTTTCACCAAATTTGATGTACGTACTTTCTTTTAGACTAAATTCGGTCGGTCATTTGGACTGATATTGGCCATTTGATGTACATTAACCCGAAATCGGGTGAAGATATGTATGGGTGCTATATCCAAATTTGAAGCGATCTTGATACAACTTAGCAGAGGTATATCTGGGCTGCATCTGATGCCAAACATCATTCTTGTGGGGTGCACATTACGAATGTGGGGGATTTAAACACCAAATCGGATGAAACAAATATATGAGAGCTATAGCTATATCTGAACCGATTTTAACTAAATTTGTCGAACTTGCTTTAGACTGAATTCGGTTTGTACTGATATTGGCCATTTGGTGCACAATTAACCCGAAATCGGTTGAAGATATATGGGAGCTATATCTAAATCTGATCCGATTATCACCAATTTCAATAGGGTTCGTCCTTGGGCCAAACAAATATAGTTTATAAAATTTCATCTCATTCGGATAATAAATGCGACCTTCATTTTGTTCACAAGAATGCATGGACGGACGGACTGACATGCATATATAGACTTAGGAAGTGATTCTATGAAGATCCTCAAAAGTAGCTTTGGGTCAATCTGGCTTTCTTCTTCATGTTACAAACAAATTTACAAAGACATAACACCCTTACCACTATCTGGTGTAGGATATTGTAATTGTATGATTGCCTGAATATGCCTTTCTGATTTCACAATCGGAATGTATATCCAAATTCAATAAAGCATTGCACTTCCAGTCAAGTCAAATTTTCGTTAGTCTAATGAAGAATCCCAGTCTTCATTTGTGAGGTTGACATGACAAAGAAAATATCTTATTTAATTTGCTCTTGACCCGATTAGGCCGATTATCTAAGTTCCTAAGGGTCCTTTGGAAAACTTGTTCCTTGCTGATTTGTTCTTTACTTAACGATCCTAAGAATTTTTAAAAAGTTCAAATTTTCAGAATATAAATTAAGAAGGAGCATTTGTTTCAGACCAGTCGTTTTAACCCCCATTCAAATCTACTTCTTAACCGGCAAATATTTGATTTTAAATTGCCTTCACTTAAATATAAAACCCCCTCTATTGAAAATACTGCTTCTCCATTTGGTACCTGTAATACATTAGCGCCATTTCGGGATTATTATCGTAGAAATAATTCAAAGCAATACAAGCCAGTGCCTCAATGTTGATGGGATTTAATTTGGCTATCAGACGATACATTTGCATGGAATCCTCCACTTTCGACATTGCATCCAGCAGACGTCCCTGTTCAATGCGAAATGTCACATCGAATGGATGACGATCTACAGCAGATTGTATCAAAACCATTGCCTGTTCCAGCTGATCCAAGCGCTGATATAGGCGAGCCAACAAAATATACGTATCGGGATGTTGAAAATTTGTCAACGACTGCTGCAGATATGTTTCAGCTTTACGAGGATATTTCAAAGCCAGTAGGCAGCGACCCATTTGCTGTTGCCACCACCATTCATCACAACTGGCCAGCGAACGTAACGATGCCGAGGAACCTCTTTTTTGTTTATGCACCTCCATAACAGCCTCGCACAGCGAATAGGCTTTCAACACATCCGCCTCGTGATAGTATAGGAACTGAAATAGGGCCTTGACCAGAACTTTGCGTTCCGCGTAAATTGTGGGATTTAGACGAGAGGCCTGATACAAAGGGGCTGTGGCATCGCCTATTGTAAAAGCGGCCGCCGAGGTGGCTCTCACTCGAGATGCGGTGCCACAGCGGGAGGCAGGCCGACCTCCCATTGAAGAACCTGGCCGACTAAGGCCACTGGTACCGGGACGTGCCTGTGGGGAAGAAAAACAATAGTATTTACGTACAGGAATTTTTGTGTTACATTTATTTCTCCTTACCATTCCTGATGTTGGCCTACTGCCCAGACTAGATGATAGGCTACGTCTGGCCCCATCACTTCCAGCTGTTCTTTGACCCCTCGACACTGCTGTCGCACTGCGTAGGTTACTGGTACTTGGCCGTGGTATAAAAGCGGTTTTTATCGATGTTCCCGGTCGTGCTGTTGTGGCAATGCGCTCAAATTCAACTTCTTCATTGACTAAACATTTTTGAAATAAAAAGAATGGTTGAGAATTTTAGATTTTTTGGATTTTTGTTTATATAGGACAATATTTTAAAATGTATAAGAAGTGAAGGAGATGTATTGAATTATCTATAGTCATTGTGTGTGGGGCTAGAGCTAGAATTCTAAAATAGGGATTTTGAATAACTATTTGCTTTTTTTATACCCTCCACCATAGTATGGAGGGTATATTAAGTTTGCCATTCCGTTTGCAAAATTTTACTTAAATTTATGTCATTTAAAATGGGCCATTGGTATTGAAAATGGATCATGTATGTCCACGTTTTGGTATATCATCTATATAACCACCCTATTTTCGGTATTTTGGTGATTTAAGCGACATTATTCATCGGAAATGATTCAAATTTGGTATTTGAATTTCGTAATGGATACTAAGGCATATGCCAGAAAATTGTCCGTGCAGGTCCTCGCCTTCGTATAGGCCCCAAATAACGGTACCTCCCGATATTCGGTATTTTGATGATTTTAGCGGCATTTGAAGTTCGTAATGGCATTTTAAGTTCGTAATGGATACTATGGCCTATGACAGAAAATTGTCTGTGCAGGTCTACCTTTTGGTATAGCCCCATATAATGGTACCTCCCTATATTCGGTATTTTAATGATTTTATCTACATTATTCTCCGGAATCGTTTCAAATTTGGTATTCGAAGTTCGTAATAGATACTAAAGCCTAAGACCGTAAAATGTCTGTGCAGGTCCACGTCTTCGTGTAGCCCCTTTATAACGGTACCTGCTGAGATTTGGATTTTAGCGGAACTAACTGTTTTTTTTACTTGTTTAACAATTCACTTTGTCTTTGTTGAGAGCACCCTGATCATCACTTTTTTAAAGAATATATTTAGCCTCCCATTATTGAGAGCCCTTATACCGAATTTCAATGGCCCATTTACAGAAGAACAGAGATATAGTAACGATTTTCTTTAAGTTGTCTATTCAATGTTCTACTTAGAAGTCCCTTCTTTCCAAGAGTACATATGGTCCGTTTAGCATTTCATACGATGTCCTTAATCGAGTTTTTTAAACATTTTTACAGATGTCTTCAAGTTGTTTTATCGTGGATTTGTTGAGAAATTATTGTAAATATTTTCCTCCCTTCATGTTTTTAATATCAGATTTTTGTGATTCATGAATGGCGTTTCCTCAACCCTTCCATAAACAGCCCTTTTTGGCTGAGAAGTTCCTTTTGCTATGAGATGTCACTTTTGAGGTTATATGAGAAGGGCCTTTTATGAGGACTCACTATTGACCTACTATAATAAGTCCTGTCAGAACTTTTATAATAAGTACCTTCTGGTTTTCCGTAAGAAGTCTCTTTTGGGTTTCTATAAAAAGTACTATCTGGTGGTTCATAGGGAGTCACTTCTGACCTCTAGTTTATTCTGGCATTTCATAAGAAGGCTCATCTGATAAGAACTCAGTTTTAGCCTTTCGTATGACGTTCTGTTTATCTTTTCAACATTGTCCCTTGCGGCCTTCCATTGCGATTTGCACCAGGCCTTTATAAGAAATCCTTTTAGAGCTACTATAAAAACTCCTGGGCTTTAATAAAGAGGTCCTTCCTACACTTTTAAGATGCATCTTCAGGCCTTCTACGGGAATCATCCTTATAAAAATCACTCTCTGGTCTCCTTAAGACGTAGTCCTGAAAAAGGCCTTCAATGAGAAGTCTCATCTGGCCTTCCGTAATAAAAAGGTCCGTCGGGTTGTTTAGAAGAAGTAACTTTTGGCATTCTATAATAAGTCAATTCTGGCATTTATTAAGAAGGCCCATCTGGCATCTGATAAGAAGTCCGTTTGTTTTAGCCATTCATTTAAATTTCCGGTCTTCCATAGAATTTGACGCTGGGCTTCATAAGAAGTCCCCTCAGGTCTACTATAAAAACTCCTGGACTTTAATAGAAGCTCCTTCTCATCTTTTTAAGATGCATTTTCTGACCTTCGACGAGAAGCTCCCTCATAAAAAGTACTTTCTGACCTTCTTAAGACTTTCATAAGAAGACCTGAAGAGGGTCATTCATTAGAAGTTCTTTTTTGCTTTATTATTCCCTTCTTTTCGCCTTACCTTTTAAAGATGCATCATCTGGCCTTCTACGAGAATCCCTTTAAGTGCTTTCTGACTCAAAAGAAGGCCTTCTACAGGAAATCTCATCTGGCCTTCCGTAATAAAAAGTTACATCTGGTTGTTCATAAGAAGTCACTTCTGGCATTCTATGATAAGTAAATGCTGGCATTTCATAGAAAACTCAAGCTTTTTTGTAGTTTTTTAAAAAATGCCCTTCCGGTCTTCCATAGAATTTACTTCTGGCCTCCAAAAATAAGTCCTTTCAGACATATAATAAAAAACTCCTGGTCTTTAATAAGAAATTCCTTTTCATTTCTTTAAGATGCTTTTGGACTTTTATAAGAAGTACATTCGGCTCTATCTAAATTACTTTTTACCTTTCAATAATAAGTTTGTTCTGGCACTGTATATGAAGTCCCTTCCGACCTTCCATAGAACGTTGTTTTGGACGTTTTTAAGAAATATGTAAAAGTCCACTTTTGCCTTCCACAAGACCTGACCTGACACTCTATATGAAATCTCTTTAAATTCTCCTATGGGGTATTATGTGACTTTCTATAAGAAGGCTTTTCTGGCCTTTTCTAAAAAGTCCTTTCTGGCCTATAAGATAATAAAATTTCCAACAAAAAATAAATAAAAAATGTCATCTCTAATATGAAATTATGACCACCAGCATAACTATTCTTTTTTCCTTTAACATCACAAACTAATACAATTTATGAGTGACGAGAAGAAGGCACCAAAGAACGGCGGTCATAAACTGACATTCGACCGTACCAACAGCCAATAAGCATATCTTATGAAAACAATGGCAAGGTAAAGAACAGAAAAAAGTGCATTCTATCCCAGCGCTTTTTATAAGAAGTCCTCATTGATGCCATGAAATGTTTATGAAAAGAGATCCATATTTTTACAAAGAAAAACCACAAAGTAATAGAATCTTCTTTACTATGTAGCCAGCGACTGAGCGAATGAGTGAGTGGAGTGCTGGACAGCGAGAAGATTGTATCTGTGGCGAATGGTGGTGGATTTAGCAATCAAAGCAAATGGTAGATGCATTGGATGCATGGTTGAATGGTCGTCGTCCTAAAACCTTTACAGAGCCTGTGCTAACAAATTACATGTATGTAGCCATGTATGTTTGCCGAAAACACTTATACTTAATTATGATGATAAACACATAAACCTTAACCTCAAGAAGAATTTAATCCAACAATATGACCGACATTCTTGCCATTGCTAGCCTAGCCACCAGCAAAAAAAAAAACATCGTCGTCGTCGTGGTCGTCACAAGTCAAGCTTAAAATTTTTCTACGTTTAGCAGAGAAATTAAAAAAAAAACTGAGACGGGTTCGATCGACTGAAATTCACCCTTCATATTTTTAGGCATAGGCTAGGAAGTATTTTAAAAAATTTCAGTTTATAGAAATGGACCTTGCTTTGAAAGGTCTTATAGAAGGTTCTTATAGAAGACCAGTAGGTCTTCTTATACAAGTACAGTAGGTCTTCTTATAGAAGTCCAGTAGGTCTTATAGAAGACCAGTAGGTCTTCTTATAGTAGGCCAGTAGGTCTTCTTATGGAAGACCAGTAGTCCTTCTTATAAAAGACGAGTAGATCTTATGGAAGACCATCAGGTGTTCTTATAGAAGACCAGTAGGTCTTCTTATAGAAGACCAATAGGTCTTCTTATAGAAGACCAGTAGGTATTCTTATAGAAGACCATTAGGTCTTCTTATAGACGACCAGTAGGTCTTCTTATGGAAGACCAGTAGGTCTTCTTATAGAAGACCAGTAGGTCTTCTTATAGAAGATCAGTAGGTCTTCTTATAGAAGATCAGTAGGTCTTCTTATAGAAGATCAGTAGGTCTTCTTATAGAAGACCAGTAGGTCTTCTTATAGAAGACCAGTAGGTCTCCTTATAGAAGACCAGTGGATCTTTTTATAGACGACCAGTAGGTCTTCTTATAGAAGATCAGTAGGTCTTCTTATGGAAGACCGGTAGGTCTTTTTATAGACGACGAGTAGGTCTTCTTATGGAAGACCAGTAGGTCTTCTTATGGAAGACCAGTAGGTCTTCTTATAGAAGACCAGTAGGTCTTCTTATAGAAGATCAGTAGGTCTTCTTATGGAAGACCGGTAGGTCTTCTTATAGAAGACCAGTAGGTCTCCTTATAGAAGACCAGTGGATCTTTTTATAGACGACCAGTAGGTCTTCTTATGGAAGACCAGTAGGTCTTCTTATAGAAGATCAGTAGGTCTTCTTATGGAAGACCGGTAGGTCTTTTTATAGACGACCAGTAGGTCTTCTTATGGAAGACCAGTAGGTCTTCTTATAGAAGATCAGTAGGTCTTCTTATGGAAGACCGGTAGGTCTTCTTATAGAAGACCAGTAGGTCTCCTTATAGAACACCAGTGGATCTTTTTATAGAAGACCAGTGGATCTTCTTATAGAGGACCAGTAGGTCTTCTTATAGAAGACCAGTAGATCTTCTTATAGAAGACCAGTAGATCTTCTTATAGAAGACCAGTAGGTCTTCTTATAGAAGACCAGTTGGTCTACTTATAAAGACTAGTTGGTCTACTTATAAAGACCAGTAGGTCTTCTTATAGAAGACGAGTAGGTCTTCTTATAGAAGACCCGTAGGTCTTATAGAAGGTCAGTAAGTCTTACAGGAGACTAGTAGGTCTTCTTATAGGATACCAGTAGCTCTTCTTATAGAAGACAAGTAAATCTTCTCCTTTAGAAGACCAGATATAGTTTTGGAAACATTCCTCAAGGATCAAACGATTGTAGGGTACCTTGAAAATTATTTTTTTCTCCTCCTTATAGGAGTAGGTCTTATAGAATCCAGTAGGTATTCTTATAGAGGACCACTAGCTCTTCTTATAAGAAGACCAGTATATCTCTATTAGAAGACCATTGTAGGGTACCTTGAAAATAGTTTTTTTTTTCTACTCCTCCTAACCACATTACAGCAACCGCCGTCATGTTGATGTTGACGACGACGACGATGATACAAACGAACCGAACAAAAAAATGGACATTGGGGATGTAACCAACTGTGGTGGTGCCTAGTGGCGGCTAGTGATGGTATGCCGGCCTCTTAAAAAAATGCCGGGCTCTTAGAATGGAATTGGTCAACAACATAGTGGTTGTGTTGAGCGAGACGAAGGAGGGAAGAGACGAGGTTACAGCAGCAGTGGCCGGCCGGCAGTAATATAAGCATCTTAAATGTTTGGAGGCACGCATCCAAAAAGTATGCGCATATTTAAGTTGACGATGCCAGGTTGGGCCATGCCAAGCCATGCCAGGGCAGTTGGCATTCAGGCAGTTGTTGTCGCCGCCGTAGTCGTCGTCATATCGTAGTATCTCTTTATTATTGTTGCTCGTTGTTGTAGTAGTTGGTGTTGTTGTACATATAGTACTGCCCACATTCCATTCTGTTCAATCACCTTGAAAAAATCTTGAATATCTTTTGGTTTTTATTGTTATTGTTGTTGGTTGCTGTTTTTTGGTTCTTCATTGAAAACTAAACTGAAAACAGCGCAAAATTCTGGATTCATTTTGATGCTTGTAAAAATGTTCTTACATTGTTGTTGTTGTTGCACAACATTCTTTCGTTTTTGCTGTAATGCATTTGAAGCGAATTAGTTTTGGGGTTAAAGGATTTTCTGTTGGAAATGTATTTAAGAAGGCAAGGAAAGAATTGTTGGAAGACAGAATGGAAGTCTTGATGAAGGCCAGAAAGCACTTTTTTTGAGACCAGAAAATAATTCTTACTGAGGGCCAGAAGAGACTTCTTACTAAAGGGGCAGAAGGATATATTGTGATACCTTTGGCAGCTCTTTTTACGGAACGTCTGTAATAATTTCTTAGGTAAGACCAGAAGGGGCTTCTTTAGACTTCTTGGACTTCTTATACAACTTCAGAATCAGATAGTATCGTAACCATCTCTTTGTATTTGTAAATTTACCTTACTTACGGGAGGATCAATAAATTTTAAAGAAAAGTCATGTCTAGAAAAACTTCCGATAAGATCCTTAACACAAAGGACAATCATTCTTAAACAAGTCCACAATTAAGCCACATTTGTACAAATTCTTGAAAAAATCACGACTTGAAGCTGGCTAAATTTAAGGACCACAAACAATCGAAATACACAAAAAGGATATTTGAAAAATAGCAAAACAATTACCATTAAGGACCGTGTTAAAAAAACTGCTTTAATTCTTAAGAAATCTGTCATTGAGGCTGGATTTAGAAAAACTCTTTCCAAAGATCTTTAAAAAGTTCACTATTAAAGGCCCCAAATTAAATACCTCAAAGGAAGCGGCACCAAAATTGTGACTCAATATTTATTAAATTCTCGAAATATTCTAGTTTTTGGGCCTTGAAGGGGTCTGCAAAAACTCTTTAACAAATCACGTTTAGGGAGCTTAAAAGGAGTGCACAAAAAGGCTGCGAGGGAGACCAGAAAAAAATATTATGAAATTGCATTTCACAAAAATTAAGTTTAAGGACCTTGAGGATACCGGCAAATTTCTTTATAAAAAGACTGTTAATAAGTGCACCTACCTTCTTTAAAAAAATTCAAGTTTAGGATTCTTAGGGAGACCAGAAAAATTCTTCATTTAAGGACGCTTAAGGATTTCCTAAAACATAACATCCACACAAACGACCTTAAAAGGAGGCTGCAAAAACCTTTCAAAATCTTGTTTACGATGTTTAAGGAAGAGGCCGCCAAAGGCCAAAAAATCAAAGTTTCAGGACTTTGAGGAATGTAAAATAATTTTTTTATTTGCTTTTAAAATTCCCATTCAATGACGCTGAGGAAGGAGAAAGTAATGACAGTAAAAATAACAAAAAACTTATTTAAAATGTCCACATTTTAGGACTTGAAGGAGAACAGAAAAAAATAAAAATAAGATCCAAACAAAATTTTAATTAGGATTTTTAATTAAGATTTTTTTAAATATCCAAGTTTATGGACTCGAGGAGGTTGGTGGGATCTACAACATTTTCTTAAAGAATAAATATTTAAGGCCTTGAAGGAACTCTCGAACTTTTTTTAAAGTATCCACTTTTAAGGAAGCTAGAAAATTCTTTAACAAAAGCACGTTTAAAATTCCTGAGGGAGGTTTGGAGAATTCTTCAAGAAAATTCACGTATAAGAGCCTCAAAGAAGGCTAGAAAAATTCAATAAATATTAAGGATCTAGAAGGAGGCTAGAAAAATTATTAAAAAAACACATTTAAGGACTTTGGAGGAAGCTAGAAACATCCTTTAAAAAATAATGTTTAAGAACCTTAAAGAAGGCCCAAAATGATTTTAAAATTCAGGCCAGAAAAATCCACGTTTAAGGACCTTGAGAGAGGCCAAAAAGGGTTTTTAAAATCCTTACAGGAGGTCACACGAATACTTGAAGAAATCTACATTTAAAGATATCGAAGGAGGCTAGACAAATTCATTAAAAATCCATGTTTAAGGTCCTCAAAGGAGGCCAGAAAAATTCCTTAAAAAATCTACGTTTAAGGATCAAGAAGCTAAAAATTGTACAAAAAAACCACTTTTATTGATCCTGAAGGAGTTCTCAAGAATCGTTCTAAAAATCCACATTTTAGGATCTTGAAGAAGGTCACAAAAAATCATGGAAAAGCCACGTTTAAAGAGCTTTAAGGAGTGGTGGGTGGCCTCCTTTGAAGAATATAAAAGAGGCCAACATTTGTTTGACAGAACCGCGTTTGAGGATCCTTAATGAGGCCACACACATTTTTTAATAATTCACGTTTAAAGACCTTGAAGGAGGCTAGAAAAATTCTTTAAGTAATTGCATGTTTGAAGAAGCGCTTGAAGAAGCCCACAAAAATTCTTTAACAAATATGGTAGGATCTTTAAAGAGGTCTAAAGATTCTTAGCATGTTCACGTGAAAGGACCTTAAGGACAAATTTTACAAAAACACAAAATTTACAAAAACACAATGGCCACACCAATTGCTTACATTAAAGTAGGCCTAGATATTCTTAAAAAAATATGCTTTCAAGTTTCTCGAGGAAGGTTTTGGAAACATTCACTTTTAAGGATTTTCGAGGGGGCAACAAAAATTTATTAAAATATCCAGAATTCAGGTCCTACAGAAGGCTAAAGCTTGAAACTTAAACCTCTTTCAAATTGTAATACTCATTTTTTTTTTTTGATACCGAACCTTTTTTTTGCCTCTCCTCCTTGCTTTCCCTCCTTCCTCGAAGAATATTCAGTCCCTTTTTTACCTGAACCTGACTACTTTAAATTTATATGAGTTGCATATTTTTTGAAAATATCAATTAATTCTCGGTAGCAGTGTTATTAAAAAAGCCCATCATTAATTCTTGTTTTGTGAAAGCCCTAGGGCGAGGACAGACGGATGGACCCGGACAATTTCCCAAAAAACACATTGTTGATTACCAAGGAGGAGACTCTGGGCAGATTCAGGGCGATGTCTACATACCAGCATCATCGGCATCATTTGTTTCCAAGTCATCAATGTAGATGCGTTGCGTAAGTGCGCGCATTTTTAATTGCCAAACGCCTTCCATCATCCACGTGGGCATAACGCTAAAGGACGACGATGATGACGATGTGGCTCCTGTATGGCCCCAAGATGAGTTCAAGTTTGTGTTAGAGGTAGTAAATGATGATGCAGACCCTGTGGTAGTTGCCGAGTTGCTGATGGTGCTACTGCTGTTCACATTGTTGCCATAAATTCCTCGCTGCTGTCTACCCTTGATGGCGCCCATGCGTTGCAAATTGCTACTGTAACGTTGAACGTTGTTGCCAGCACTGCTGCTACTGTTGTTACTTATGTTACTGCCTCCCCGACCGCCACCTCCCCCAGTGTGGTATACATTCGAGACAATGCCTGGTGGCTGCTGTTCAGCAGAAATATTGTAGTTCGACTGCCTTGGATTGGCCGCTTCTTCGCCATCGGCCTTCTCCTCCCCCTCCTGATCTGGTGGCGTATTGAACATTTGGACATTATTTTCGTGACCTGCTTGCAACATTACATTGCACACCTCAACACATTTTTCATAATTTCGACGTCGATACAGGGAGACAGCTTTGAAATATTGCAATTCCAGACTGGCCAATGATTTCTCAATGGAGACGGGTGCCGCCGTCGCCGTCGTTGTTGTTCTCTGGAGTAGACCAGTAATATCAGACGTTGCTGTTGTTGGCGTCGATTCATCGTCATCTGCTGCAGCAGCGGCAGGAATATTATCATCATCATTATTCATAATATTTGTTTTAAATTCTTTGGAATGTCGGACTGTGGCTGGGGCCATCATCGTCAGCATAATTTCGCCTCTCTTCTTTTTTCGTTTTTGTTGTTGTTTTTGGCGTCTGTCGCTTTTTAGACGTCCTTCGATTTGTTGCAAATGGCCAAAGAAAACAAAAAAGCGACAAAAACAATTTTTTGGAATTGATTGTTGGTTTGTGCGCTATTATTCTTAACTTGGCTGGTTCTGGTTCTTCTCCGCTGCACCACCACTACCAACCATTCTTTGAGTCTCTTGGCGATATCTTTGTTTTTTTTCTTTATTGGAATTTTAAGACCGGATGTTGAATGATTTTGTGGTCTTTTTTGATTTGAGTTTGAGCCATTTTCATTTCGAATTCGAAGTTAGGGTCAGAATTATGTTTATGTTTCTTTTATTAATCGTTTTTTGGGAAAAAATTAACACTTTTTCACAATTCCACTTTTCCGACTGGGTTTTGTTTTTTTTCCTGCGTACTTTCCTGTGAGTGGCCACAAATGCTGTCATGGGTTACCATGGCGACCATAGGGTAGCAGGAATGATGGACATTTGAATTTGGCCTGGGGGTTGAAATGTCAGCAGCAACAGTCATAAAATGTAATTAAATGTTTCATTTTTCAAACGGAACAAAAACCATTATAAAATAATATGTATATAAGTATGGGGGTCGAATGATTGGGGGTCATGGTCAGATTACACTGACCTGTAATTAGTTGGATGAAAATAAAAAATAACAAAATTTCATTAAAAATCTAATTTGACCATTTTTAAAGAATTTTTCTAGCCTCCTTCAAGCTCCTTAAACGTAATTTTTTTAAAGAATTTTTCTAACCACCTTCAAGCTCCTTAAACGTAAATTTTTTAAAGAATTTTTCAAACATCCTTCAAGCTCATTAAACGCGGATTTTTTAAAGAATTTTTCAAGCCTCCTTCAAGCTCCTTAAACGTGGATTTTTTTAAGAATTTTTCTAGCCTCCCTCAGTACCCTTAAACGTGGATTTTTTTAAAGAATTTTTCTAGCCTTCTTCAATCTCCTTAAACGTGGACTTTTTAAAGAATTTTTCTAGCCTCCTTCAATCTCCTTAAACGTGTTTTTTTTAAAGAATTGTTATAGCCTGCCTCAGTCCCCTAAAACGTGCATTTTTTAAAGAATTTTTCTAGCCTCCCTCAGTACCCTTAAACGTGGATTTTTTAAAGAATTTTTCTAGCCTTCTTCAATTTCCTTAAACGTGGATTTTTTAAAGAATTTTTCTAGCCTCCTTCAATCTCCTTAAACGTGTTTTTTTAAAGAATTTTTCTAGCCTCCCTCAGTCCCCTAAAACGTGCATTTTTAAAATAATTTTTCTAGCCTCCCTCAGTACCCTTAAACGTGGATTTTTTAAAGATTTTTTCTAGCCTCCCTCAGTACCCTTAAACGTGGATTTTTTAAAGATTTTTTCTAGCCTCCCTCAGTACCCTTAAACTTGGATTTTTTAAAGATTTTTTCTAGCCTCCCTCAGTACCCTTAAACTTGGATTTTTTAAAGATTTTTTCTAGCCTCCCTCGGTACCCTTAAACTTGGATTTTTTAAAAAATTTTTCTAGCCTCCCTCAGTACCCTTAAACGTGGATTTTTTAAAGAATTTTTCTAGTCTCCCTCAGTACCCTTAAACGTGGATTTTTTAAAGAATTTTTCTAGCCTCCCACAGTATCCTTAAACGTGGATTATTTAAAGAATTTTTCTAGCGTCCTTCCAGTTCCTTAAACGTGGATTTTTTAAATAATTTTTCTAGCCTCCCTCAATATCCTTAAACGTGGATTATTTAAAGAATTTTTCTAGCGTCCTTCCAGTTCCTTAAACGTGGATTTTTTAAAGAATTTTTCTAGCCTCCTTCAAGCTCCTTAAACGTGGATTTTTTTAAAGAATTTTTCTAGCCTCCCTCAGTAACCTTTAACGTGGATTTTGTAAAGAATTTTTCTAGCCTCCCTCAGTAACCTTTAACTTGGATTTTTTAAAGAATTTTTTTAGCCTCCCTCAGTAACCTTTAACGTGGATTTTGTAAAGAATTTTTCTAGTCTCCCTCAGTACCCTTAAACGTGGATTTTTTAAAGAATTTTTCTAGCCTCCCTCAGTACCCTTAAACGTGGATTTTTTAAAGAATTTTTCTAGCCTCCCACAGTATCCTTAAACGTGGATTATTTAAAGAATTTTTCTAGCCTCCCTCAGTAACCTTTAACGTGGATTTTGTAAAGAATTTTTCTAGCCTCCCTCAGTAACCTTTAACTTGGATTTTTTAAAGAATTTTTCTAGCCTCCCTCAGTAACCTTTAACGTGGATTTTGTAAAGAATTTTTCTAGTCTCCCTCGGTACCCTTAAACTTGGATTTTTTAAAAATTTTTTCTAGCCTCCCTCAGTACCCTTAAACGTGGATTTTTTAAAGAATTTTTCTAGCCTCCCACAGTATCCTTAAACGTGGATTATTTAAAGAATTTTTCTAGCCTCCCTCAGTAACCTTTAACGTGGATTTTGTAAAGAATTTTTCTAGCCTCCCTCAGTAACCTTTAACTTGGATTTTTTAAAGAATTTTTCTAGCCTCCCTCAGTAACCTTTAACGTGGATTTTGTAAAGAATTTTTCTAGTCTCCCTCAGTACCCTTAAACGTGGATTTTTTAAAGAATTTTTCTAGCCTCCCTCAGTACCCTTAAACGTGGATTTTTTAAAGAATTTTTCTAACCTCCCACAGTATCCTTAAACGTGGATTATTTAAATAATTTTTCTAGCCTCCCTCAGTAACCTTTAACGTGGATTTTGTAAAGAATTTTTCTAGCCTCCCTCAGTAACCTTTAACTTGGATTTTTTAAAGAATTTTTCTAGCCTCCCTCAGTAACCTTTAACGTGGATTTTGTAAAGAATTTTTCTAGTCTCCCTCAGTACCCTTAAACGTGGATTTTTTAAAGAATTTTTCTAGCCTCCCTCAGTACCCTTAAACGTGGATTTTTTAAAGAATTTTTCTAGCCTCCCACAGTATCCTTAAACGTGGATTATTTAAAGAATTTTTCTAGCCTCCCTCAGTAACCTTTAACGTGGATTTTGTTAAGAATTTTTCTAGCCTCCCTCAGTAACCTTTAACTTGGATTTTTTAAAGAATTTTTCTAGCCTCCCTCAGTAACCTTTAACGTGGATTTTGTAAAGAATTTTTCTAGTCTCCCTCAGTACCCTTAAACGTGGATTTTTTAAAGAATTTTTCTAGCCTCCCTCAGTACCCTTAAACGTGGATTTTTTAAAGAATTTTTCTAGCCTCCCACAGTATCCTTAAACGTGGATTATTTAAAGAATTTTTCTAGCCTCCCTCAGTAACCTTTAACGTGAATTTTGTAAAGAATTTTTCTAGCCTCCCACAGTATCCTTAAACGTGGATTATTTAAAGAATTTTTCTAGCGTCCTTCCAGTTCCTTAAACGTGGATTTTTTAAAGAATTTTTCTAGCCTCCCACAGTATCCTTAAACGTGGATTATTTAAAGAATTTTTCTAGCGTCCTTCCAGTTCCTTAAACGTGGATTTTTTAAAGAATTTTTCTAGCCTCCCACAGTATCCTTAAACGTGGATTATTTAAAGAATTTTTCTAGCGTCCTTCCAGTTCCTTAAACGTGGATTTTTTAAAGAATTTTTCTAGCCTCCTTCAAGCTCCTTAAACGTGGATTTTTTAAAAGAATTTTTCTAGCCTCCTTCAAGCTCCTTAAACGTGGATTTTTTTAAAGAATTTTTCTAGCCTCCCTCAGTAACCTTTAACGTGGATTTTGTAAAGAATTTTTCTAGCCTCCCTCAGTAACCTTTAACTTGGATTTTTTAAAGAATTTTTCTAGCCTCCCTCAGTAACCTTTAACGTAGATTTTTTAAAGAATTTTTCTAGCCTCCCTCAGTAACCTTTAACGTAGATTTTTTAAAGAATTTTTCTAGCCTCCTTCAATCTCCTTAAACGTGTTTTTTTAAAGAATTTTTCTAGCCTCCCTCAGTCCCCTAAAACGTGTATTTTTTAAAGAATTTTCCTAGCCTCCCTCAGTACCCTTAAACGTGGATTTTTTTTTTTAAGAATTTTTCTAGCCTCCTTCAATCTCCTTAAACGTGGATTTTTTTTTAAGAATTTTTCTAGCCTCCCTCAGTCCCCTAAAACGTGTATTTTTTAAAGAATTTTCCTAGCCTCCCTCAGTACCCTTAAACGTGGATTTTTTTTTAAGAATTTTTCTAGCCTTCCTCAGTACCCTTAAACGTGGATTTTTTTTAAGAATTTTTCTAGCCTCCCTCAGTACCCTTAAACGTGGATTTTTGTAAGAATTTTTCTAGCCTCCCTCAGTACCCTTAAACGTGGATTTTTTAAAGAATTTTTCTAGCCTCCCTCAGTAACCTTAAACGAATTTTTCTAGCCTCCCTCAGTATCCTTAAACGTGGATTTTTTAAAGAATTTTTCTACCCTCCCTCAGTAACCTTAAACGTGGATTTTTTAAAGAATTTTTCAAGCCTCGCTCAGTACCCTTAAACGTGGATTTTTTAAAGAATTTTTCTAGCCTCCCTCAGTACCCTTAAACTTGGATTTTTTAAAGAATTTTTCTAGCCTCCCTCAGTATCCTTAAAAGTGGATTTTTAAAAGAATTTTCTAGCCTCCCTCAATATCCTTAAACGTGGATTTTTTTAAGAATTTTTCTAGCCTCCCTCAGTATCCTTAAACGTGGATTTTTTAAAGAATTTTTCTAGCCTCCCTCAGTAACCTTAAACGTGGATTTTTTAAAGAATTTTCTAGCCTCCCTCAATATCCTTAAACGTGGATTTTTTAAAGAATTTTTCTAGCCTCCCTCAGTAACCTTAAACGTGGATTTTTTAAAGAATTTTTCTACCCTCCCTCAGTAACCTTTAACTTGGATTTTTTAAAGAATTTTTCTAGCCTCCCTCAGTATCCTTAAACGTGGATTTTTTAAAGAATTTTTCTTGCCTCCCTCAGTATCCTTAAACGTGGATTTTTTAAAGAATTTTTCTAGCCTCCCTCAGTAACCTTTAACGTGGATTTTTTAAAGAATTGTTCTAGCCTCCCTCAGTAACCTTTAACGTGGACTTTTTAAAGAATTTTTCTAGCCTCCTTCAAGCTCCTTAAACGTGGATTTTTTCAAAAATTTTTCTAGCCTCCTTAACAAGGATTTTTTAAACTTGTATATTTTAAAGAGCTTTTCGAGGTTCCTTCAAGTATCTTAACTTGTGTCTTTTAAAGAGCTTTTCGAGGCTCCTTCAAGATCTACCATTCTGTGGTGGATTATTTAAAAACTTTTTTACCATTTTGAATTAGTTAACAAAAAAATCGAGTCTACTCCAAGATCCTAGTCTCCTAGAACGTCTTTTATTTAAAGCATTTTTCTGACCTATTTAACTTCGATTATTTAAATAATTTTTCGAAACTCCCTTTTCGAGGCTCTCTAGCCTCCTTGAAAGTGGATTATATGAAGAATTCTTCATTTTTGAATTTTTGTGAATG